GAGGGTGTGGGGCACCGGCGCGGCCCACCCACCGGGCACGCGGGAACCTAAGCTTGTGGCTCTCGGAGCAGCAGGGTGGGGGCGCGGCGGGGTGGGGGCCCAGAGGGGAGATCCGACTGCTCTGGGCTCTGCGGGGACCAGCTCCCCTCGTTTGGCAGCTCCTACCCCACCCACCCCAAGCCGGCTTTCTTCCTGTTATTTGTGCTTGGGAAAGCAGGGCCGGTTTCCTGGAAGCGACGCCTCTCACCTAGGCTCCTGTGAAACGCGGCTGCCTGCCGGGGGACCAGAGCTCGTGCCTCTGGGGCCTCAGAGCGCCTGGGCCACATGGTCTGGGAAGAGGTAGGTGGCGGGGTCCCGCCTCCCTCCCCAACGGGGCACTTTGGGCTGCAACCCCTGCCTGGAGGCCTGGGTTTGGGGTTCAGATGGTTGCAAGGATGCCCCCCGGGGGGGGTCAGCTCCAGGAGAATGGGCCTGAGACAGTTGGGTTTCATGTGTTCAGCCTCTTCTGATTTGGGGGAGAGGGGCTGGGGTGTTGCCACTGCTCTTCCCTGGCGACTGTCCTGCCCACCTAGCTTCATGGGCCAGAAACCCAAGTGATGACCCTGGGGCCGGGGGTGCTGAGTAACACCAGCCTTCTCCCCACCCGGCCACTCACCCTCAGGCTGGGAGCAGCTGGTCTGGAGCCTGCTCCGCAGCCCCTCCTAGCTGTGGCTGGTCAGGCTGGGGTGGGGTCGAGGTGAGGAATGAGGTGGGCGGCAGGGGCTCGGCCACAGGCCCACCTGGCTCTGGTCCTGGCTGCAGGCCTCTTTGCAGGGGCTGGGCGCTGGGCCGGTACCTTTCCTGGACAGGCACGCCTGTGTCTCCCTCCCCTGGTGCTGGTTGCCAGGTTGTGAGAGTCAGGGGACCAGGAGTTGGTCTAGAAGGAAGGCAGGGAGCAGTGGGAACGGAAGACTGTGGAGAGGCCCCTAGGGGATGGTGGGCCAGCAGCGGGGGCTCCTTGGGTGCTCAGGGACAGTGTCACCTGTGGCTCTGGGGGCTGGGACTGTAGAAAACGGTGCCAAGGGAGGATCGTGGGAAGGTGTGCGTTGGTGTCCGCAGTGGGTGTGTCACCAAGTGGGGGCCCTCGCTTGCAGGCAAGGCTGTCCGTGTGTAGTTTCATCTGTACCTGTGGTCTCGTGCACTCCGCTACCTGTGTGCGCTGAGCTGGCTCCACGGCCAGGGCAGCACCTGGGCGAGCCTGTCTGTAGGGCCCTTCTGGAAGAGCTCCTGTGTGAAGATTTCGGAGTAAAGGCGGCTCTGCCAGTCCTACCTGGACACCAGGGCAGTAAGGGCAGAGCATATTAGGCTGATTCCAAGCAAGTCTGAGGGGCCGGGGCCCAGACCAGGGGCCTCTCCAAGGGAGGGTGCGGAGAGTGGGCCTGCAAATCCAGGCAAGAGAGGTCTTTATTCTAAAACGGAGTAGATGCTCTCTGGGTCAGAAGGAGACAGTGCCACTAAGGCCAAGTCCCCCGTTGTCAGGAGTGGGAAGGGGACAGCGGGTTGCCACCTGCCCTGCCTGGTCCCGTTCAAAGTGAGAGGGTACAGAGTTGGAGTCACAGGTATGGAGCAGACAGAATAGCGGTAAAACATTTTCCCTGGCGGAGAAGTAAAAAACGAGAGGCGAGAAATAGCTGGGCTTTGCCAGCCTGAGAAAAGCCCAGGGTTCAGGCTCAGCTGAAGCAGGGACCTGTGTCATGGCACTTGCGGGGCGCATCTGGCCCCAGGCCCTGTGGCCAGCTCCACCACCCACCCAGCCTCTCCCCTCCCTGGGATGCTGTTTTGGGAACTGTCGGCCTAGCTGGATCCTGCCTTTATTTCTGGCACTGAGTTGTTGCCACAGCAACTGCGGAGGTGAGGCTGGAAGGGGGAGAGGGAGAAGGAAAGAGAAGAAGGGGGCAGGAAAGATGAAGAAAGAAAAGAAAAAGGCAAGGGAATCAGGAGGATAAGAAGGAAACACGAGACAGTGACATAACCAAGTTCCCACCGGCGACCCCAGCCTGCTTGGACAGCTTGCCTCACCCATTTCCTAATTCCTGTGGCTCAGAGCTGGGCCCATCCGTCCAGCTGCTGCTCTTCAAGTGAGGTTGCTGAGCCGGACCCTGAGTCCACATTCAGATTGAAGTAGCATCTTGGGGGACTGGTTGAAAAGCATTCCTCGGCCTTGGTCTGAGCCTTGCCTGGGCAAGAGAGCTGAGTGGGCTTTGGCAAGTTAACTTCTCCACCTCATTGGTCCTCATCACTCAGTGAGCAAGCTGCTGGTCACTATGAGGTTCAGGCAGGACTCATGGAAGTCCCCAGCAGAGCCAAGTGTGGTAGCGCACGCCTGTAATCCCAGAACTCAGTAGGCTGAGGCAGGAGGAAATCGCCAAGAGTTTGAGGCCAGCCTGGGTTACACAGTGAGTTCAAGGCCAGGCTGAACTAATAGTGAGACTTGTCTCAAAAAACAAAACGAACAAGAAAAACTAAAACAAGGAAGTGTCTAGCACAGGCACTGGCACCAAGCAGCTAGTGGGCTGGCTTAGGCTGGGAGCAAAGGCTGGGCCAGAGAAGTCCTCCTGGAACACCAGGCGCAGGGATGAATAGACACAAACTTGGAGGTCCCCGTGGGCGCGGGTCTTATCACCTATATCCTGGGGAGCTGCAAGGGTCTGGTTGCCATGGAGACTGGAGGGCGGGTGTTGCGTTGTGAGGTGGGGCTGGGCTGGTGGCTCCGATAAGGCAGGACACACAGCTGGGGG